GTTCATAGTGACCTGGTGACATGGGGATGTAAAGCTGTGTGTCGTCAGCATAGTTATGGTAGCTAATGTTGTTTTTTTTTAATTAACTGAGCGAGAGGGAGCATGTAGATATTGAATAGGAGGGGACCCAGGATGGACCCTTGGGGAACCCCACATGTGATTTTTGTCATCTCTGATGTAAAGTTGCCTACTGACACAAAAAAGTCCCTGTCCTTTAAGTATGATTTAAACCAGTTGAGAGCTGTACCAGAGAGGCCGGCCCAGTTTTCCAGGCGCTCTAACAGGATGGAGTGATCGACAGTATCGAATGCTGCACTGAGGTCCAATAGTACCAGCACTGTGGTTCTTCTGCAGTCTGTTTTTATATGGATGTCATTAAACACCTTGATAAGGGCGGTCTCTGTACTGTGGTGAGCCCGAAAACCTGACTGGAACACGACAAAGCGGCTGGTCATACTTAAGAAAGTGCTTAATTGTTGAAACACTGCTTTTTCAATGATCTTACTGATAAACGAGAGGTTTGAGATGGGCCTGTAGTTCTGGAGTAGTAGTTTGTCTAAATTGTTCTTTTTCAGCAGTGGTTTGATATTTGCTGTTTTTAGGGACTGCGGGAAAACAGCAGACAGAAGGGTTGTGTTTATTATCTGAGTCAAATCAGACGCTATGACAGGCAAAACTTTCTTAAAGGCCTATGTAATCCCCATTCTTTTGCACATTTTGTCACAAAGCATCCACAAACTCAGCTTTTTCTAAATTGGGATTTTATTTTAAAAATTGTGAATAAAATTAAACAATACATAATCTCTAAGCGAAAGTAAAACAATGTAGTATTTTAATTCTAATAAATTCCAACCTCACCCATGATTTCTGACCTACTTCCCTGTTCCCACAGAATGGTGCTGTCTGCCATAACCACAGATCACAGGGGGGTTGGCGTCTTATCAGCAATAAGCTTTCGGTTTCATGGAAAAATGGTTTGCTTAGCTTGATATTCTAGTTTAGGATCCATCTCACCAAAACATCTTCCTTTGTGGTACCGCCTACACAGACAATTCGAATTTTTATCTAGAGTATCAGAATAAAGGGTGTTGAACACAAATAGAAGCCACATTTCTGAGATTTTTACTACCCATCAAATGCTGTTACTTTATTAGTTCTAGTCTCAATAAAACATGCAGAAGTGTGCGGTTAAAAGATGAGAATCTTTCAAGAGCTATGAATACCTTGGCAAGCTTCTTAATTACATGTTGAGATGTGGAAGTGTGTGAACGTGCAGATATACCCGTGGAGGATTAGCCTGAAGAGCACTGAGGTAGTTTTCTAGAGCCAGCCGCCTGCGACTGTTCAGCAGAGCCTCCACGCGGGCCATGTGTGTTTCCACCAGCTGCTGTCGCTCTTCAGCAGCCTCCTGCTCCAGAGCTTCCACCTTCTCTTGGAAGTGCTGCACGTGTGAAGCACAGAAGGCACTAGGTTTAATCTCAGGACTAAAATACAACCTGTTTTCATTAAATGTTACTGACAGATTACTTTAATTTCACTGACACAAGAGATGGATTCCCACCTGAATCACAGCTTTCTTGTCAGCACGAGGCAGGTTCTTGGCTTGTCTCTCAGCCTCCTCCCACTCCCTCATCACCTGGAAACCAAAGATAAAAGTCATGGGGAAAAAAAAAAATTAAAACGATCCACACAAAAGGATTTTATTTTGGGAAGTGAAATGTCATACCTGAGACATTTTGTCACGGTGTTTGGCCTCAAGACTTTCTTTGGCTTTTCGGAAATCCGTGTGTTCATTGTCATCACCAGGAGATTCGAGGTACTGGTCAACAGCGTCTGGGGGACTGGGAGCAATGGTGGGCACTGGAGGGGATGAAGGAAAGGGAATGAGTGCCAAGCAGAATGGTTTTTATCACAGAGGGTACGAAACAAGGCGGCCCCCCAATCCCAAAAAAATAAAAAATACAAAGGAATGAATGAATCTGTCATCCCTGGCTGGCAGTCAAACAATAGCAGCTAGGTAGACATGAGGAACTGTTTCACCATTTAATTAAATAAAGCAAGAACGTCACGAAAGCCATGATGTGATAAAAGATTTACAGTACACTGCAAGTTTCTCTGTGGGAAACTCAAGATATTTTGCAACATGTTGAGTTTGGATTAAGGAGCTGACAGTTGACAAACCTCCTTTGTGTCAGCTTTCCGAAACATTGATAAGATATAAACAAGCTCAACTGACAAGAAACAGACAATGACAAGTGTACACTCTATATACACTGAAGAGCAAAGCATGCAAACACACATGAACCGAGATGCATGCAGACGCACGCCGTCATGCAGAGGTCAGATTGGTCCGTCTTCATGCTGGAAGAAGAGTTAGTGATTCGCCTTAGAAATAATTAAGCAACCTTTATCCTTAAATAATTGATCCACTGCTGTCTTTGTTATATAATATCATGGTATTGTTCTCAGACATCACCAGTTTTAAAGTAATACAGTTGATTTATGACGTATCAATCTAATCAAAGCAATAAAATATGTTTAATAGCATTTATGTTATTTCATTATCATGTGTACTACAAACTATTTTAACATCCCTGTGCAGAGGTTTATGGAAGAAAAACAGTCTCATTGGAATCTGCCTTTTTTTTTTTAACACCAAATTTTAAAAACTAAATTTTTTTAGACATTGAATACTTTACACACAAATTTTATCTGGTAAAAATTCACCAGAAAAAAAGTTCAGCGGCAAAAAAATTCAGCTGCAAATTTGAATTTTTACCAGATAAAAATTGGGTGTAAGGAATTCAATGTCTAAAAAAAATTCAGTGTTTAAAATTCGGTGTTAAAAAAAGGCAGATTCCAATGAGACTGTTTTTCTTCCATAGAGGTAAAAGTTTATTATGGGGCTGCTAAATACATTACATTCTGATTATTTTAGAAATTGACCTTATCCTGAACTGAAAAAAAAATGTTTGATGTAGCAAGAAACATCTGCTAATCAGACCATCTCAAAATTATGGTAGTTGTTACCACTTGTCTATCTGCTTTGTCTAAGAACCCTCTCCAAAAACATTCCATCAACAGGCAACCAGCCAAGGAGCTCTTTTACTTTTTTTTTTTTTCCCTCCTCCCTGAAACTATTTATCAAAGACCCGGGGGGGGAACTCCAGTCTCGATATCATTTAATGTTCTACTTTCTGTTTTTAATTAGAGCTTGCTTGTGCAACAGCATCTTCTCAAATAGCACTACAGGCCGTTCACATGGTTATGTTTATTGAATGAATCTGGGTTTCCCCAAATATTCCAAGAGTTTATCACCCAATTTAAAGAGAGTGAAAGAGTAACTGCCCCAGCCACTGCAGCCTCCTGTCTGATTTTAAGGTAAAGGACAGTAGTAAAGACATCAGCTGAAATAGTAGTCATTAAGTTTTATGATGTTCAAAGGTAACTTGTAAGGTTATAAACAGGAGAAGAGTAATCTTTTAGGGATTGGGTAAATTCAATATGAGGAAAGCTGGAATCTGATTTTATTGTATTGCTCCTGGCCTAAGAATCAGGATATATCTGATTTTAAATTACTTTGAATTACAAAAAAAACATACTAGTTGTGGCATTCTAATAAATATGATCCTTTTCCTTTTAAGGCATGCAACATATTCAAGGGATTCAACCAAAAAAAACGATTAACTTTTTCTGATTGAATTTAAGGATAAAAAAAAAACACAAAAAAAGACTTCTAACCCTCTTCTAAAACAAATGTAAAAGTTTTTTTTTTCTAATAGGTAACAAAACCATATAAAATAAAATATCTGTCACTTAATAATTTAATGTTATTCACATTTTGCCACTTGTAGAATCTTAATTGAGCTTAATACTTGATTCTTTTAAATTAGTTTGCATTAAATGAAAAATGTGGCATTAAGGTGAGATGGATGGTATTGAAACTAAACACGAGACGAGACTATATAGCGCTGGAATAAAGCCATCAGAGTTCTGTGTGGTTAGGAAGCTTCAGAGGAACTACAAGAGAAAGTTCGGCAGCGGAGGCCTGAGGACAGGAATCAGGCCGATGAGGTGGACACTTGATGGTCCGGTTCCAGTCTGGCAGCACTTACACGAGCTGCCACACACAGCCAGGCAGTACTCCTCCGACTCAAAGTTATTCCTGTTGCCCCCACAGCCCCCGAATAGGAAGGGAACGCAGCGGCCCTTCCTGGGCACGAAGTACCAACGCTCCAGCATGGCGTGACAGGGGCCGGACTCGGCACGGGCCCAGCACACCGCTGAGGTTATATACATACAGGCACATGTAAACAAACATTAAAGCAGGGATGGGGTTTCTGATTCTGATGAAAAAACTTCAAAAATGAAATAAAGTAACACCTGATGGCAAAAAACACAACCAAGGCAGCAGGTGTCACAGCTTACCTCGCACAACCTCCTCCACAGATTCAGTGGTGGTCGTGGTGGTGGTTGTCATGGCGACGTTGGCGCCACGCTCATCGCTGTCGCTCTCATCTATAATGTCGTCCTCTTCATCGTCGTCTTCATCTCCGTCTCCATCCTCGTCCCTTTCGAAGGCTTCTTCCTCCTCATCCTCGTCGTCCTTTTCGTTGGCTGTTTCAGTATCTGCTGGGCGCGTCATGCTGCCAGCGGGAGAGCCGCGTCAGGGTTTGCATGAGACCAATTGTGCAGCTGTTTGCAGGCGGGAAGCAATACCTGTTGTCGGAATATTCATTCTCAGCTGCGCCCCACCACACGTCAGACTCCTCCTCGTTCTGTTCCGAGCTGTCAGACCTGCGCTCTTCTTCTGCTGGGCAGCACACAAACTCCACACCAAGAAAACGGTCGATCCCACACGGCAGCAGCATCCCGTAGTCAATTAGATTCATAGAGCGGTCGCCACAGGACTGATAAAAAAAAAAAAGAGTCAGTTAAAACTTAAATCTGACATCTGTAACCTAATGAAAGCGATCATAAAAATAAAGGTGAGCAGCAACAGACTAGGTTAAGTACAAGCTGTGAAATAAGCAGAATAACCCAAATAAACAAATATCCCCCCCCCAAAAAGCCTCACTTTATAAAGACAAGCTGCGACTTTAAGAAGCAACACAAGAACAATGGAAAGACAGCATTTGCTATCCATGCTCACCTCTTTGGCTACAGTGTGCCAGTGCAGGTGGCCCTCACACTTGTTCATCTGCTCCTGGTGCAGAAACTTGCACTTGTCAGGAACCAGCAGGGCGTCGCTGACAAACTCTCCCACTGCAAAACATTCATGTTTTTTACTGTTTGAACGCATCTCTTCAAACATTACCCCTCAGTTACCCACAGCTGCTTACCCAGGCAGCGGTAGGGCACCACGATGTGTGTGTGACTCCGGCAATGCTTGCGGCCGTTCTTGCACCAGTTGGAAATGCTGATCGGTTGGTTGGCCTCTACTACATTTGTGATTTGTAGATCTGGGTACACCTGTTAAAAAAAAAAAAAAAACAGTATTTAATTTTATCTGTTATCATTTTATTTTGCATCCTCTCCCTTTAGGTTTGTTTATCTCCCTGTATGTTCTCAACCCAAATCCCACTGCAGGTTATGCTGTTGGGTTGTGTCTTAGTACCTCCTGGCAATACTGCAGGATGCCCTCCTTGGTGCCAATGCAGCTCTTGGTGCCAGATGCGTCAGGCTCCCATTTCCCAGTCTGTATGTTGATGTGCATGTTAAGCTTCCCGCAGAACATGGCCACCTGAGGCTCTGTTAGCGAGCCCACAGAGTCATCCATGGGCACCTGAAAGAAAGAATGTAGTGAAAAAAACTTCAATAACCTGCTGAAGACAAGAGATATTTAAACTGATCCTGACCAGCCACACTTCCCTACTTTCATTTGTACACGTATCAAAAATAAAGCAGCAGGCACATTTTTGCTGCTCAAATGGCAGTGTGGACACAGCAATAAAATTTCTGATTGTTTGAATTAACATATGAAACATAATATTGTACCTACAAATGATCTGATGTCGTCCTTATGAATTTCCACCTCTATTCAAGCACATACTGATCATGATCAGGAGAAAAGTAGTGTTGTAACAAAGCCAAAAAGTTAGATGCATTCCACCTCAAAATACCATTGAAACATCAGCTGTGCTTTTGCCATCAACGCCTTTGTTTATAGATGTTGATGCTCGGCCTGTTTTTCAGTGTAGTCCTGTTTCTCTGACTGTGACTGACTGTATGTGTTCCCTTTCATCCTCTGACATGGGAGATCGCTCAGCGCTCATCTACCTGGCTGTGTGTTTTCTGGACCGGGCCGCTTGTCGAGCTGATTGACAGTTTTGCCTTTTGTATCTCTGCTTATTTTTCTATGTCTGCTTCTGTCTCCTTGAACCCCAGTCAGCCTTGGCAGATGGCCGCTCATAGTGAGCCTGGTTCTGCTGGAGGTTTCTTCCTGTTAAAAAGGGTAAGTTTTCCTCTCCACTGTCACTACACGCATGCTTGTGAGGGATTGTTTGAGTCAATGAGTCGATGCAATCAGCTGGTTTTCTTTAGATAGAAAACTTTGAACATATCTAACTGTATAATCTGGTTGAATTGTCTCCATAAACTGCCTTGAGATGACAAGTGTTGTAAATTGAAGCGATATAAATAAACTGAATTGAATTTAGTTGGATAAAATTATGAACAGTTCATCCAATCATCAGAAGAAAAAAAACAATTGAAATAGTATTTTCTGATGTGTCCATCTTTAACTTTTTGTATAAGGGAAAATGAAAGTATGAAGCTTAAAAAGTGAAACTGACCTAAAAATATTTAGTATTTAGCTGTGACCAATAATGATGGCCCGAAAAAACCATTTATATCCAAACTAGCTCATTTAAAAACCATCAGATATGTTTAATGACTATATTCTAGGTAAGGCTAAATTCACAGGCTGTCAGGCTGTCAACAATAAATACCAAAAACCAAAATTATGCACAGTTGTAAAACCACAGCCTGAACGGAGGGATGTGACCAGCATGCACCTTTCCTTGAGCAACGCTGTGAATGAAGGGATGTGGAGGCAAAATTGTCATAAAGATAAGAGAATATAATACTAGATTATAGTTGAAAAAAGGCACAACAGAACATATTTTTCTTGATTTTATCCAAACATTCAAAACAAATCTGTTTTATTAGATCCTGGATAGGTAACAAAAAAATCGTTCAAGTTTAAAGCTTGCACACTCGAAGCTCAACACTTAAATGTAAAGTCAACAACTTTCAGTGCTCTTTGGACTGAAAACTTGTCAGACTTGCTTTTGTTTGTTGCTAAACATCAAAGTGTGGCAGTTAGGGAGTGGGCATAACAGCTTTTAAAATGGAATGAATCACCAAACCCTGTCTATATCCAAAGATCTGCCTCAGGGAGAACATAAAAATAAACTTTCTTTAACATTAGCAAAAACAATTGGAGTCCATTAGCCAATAAGCAAAACACATTCCTAAGGCTTACTGTGAGAAAATCTTTTAAGGCTGAGAGTAAAGGAAAGTTACACCGCATCTGTAGAGTTGCAGCTTGAATGTTTATTTGCTTCTTTGATTAAAATCTATTTCCAAATAATGTAGATCTGAACAGAAGTCATTTAGAGTTACTGTTCCCTATAGATGTGTACATGACCTTTTAAGGAACAAAGTCAAATCTGCATTAATGTCCTTTTGCTTTCTCTTTATTTTTACATTTATGATTTTAAAAAACAACATGCCATGCCACGTCAGCAGGGACGTGTCTCCACAATCTTATGTTTGTTCAAAGCCTTGGTTCCCCCAAAAAAAAAAAAAAAAAAAAACACTAAAAACACATGAACACGGCTTATAATAGGGCTACAGGTAGTCACTTTAGTCTTTGGTAACATGGTGT